AGGGGCACGTTGACTGACATCTACTGTAGGTGATACACTGCCTCATACAGCTCTGCCTCAAATAATCAGAACTATCCCTTTAAATTGACAAATCAAGGGCCCATCCCAATGCCCCCCCTTAGCCCTACCCCTTGGCCCTACCCCTAGATTTGCGTGTTCCTGCGAGGGGTAGGGGTGTCCCAATTCCTTTTTGTGTGTAGGGGACATAACGAAGGGTAGTGGGTATGAAACTAGCCCTTCGGAACGAGGGATTTCAGATGCTGACTTGCCAGCGAGGGGTAGATGTTGCCATGGCTACCACCAAGCAAGAGACGGGGAAAAAAGTTTTTATTGCTATTCACGATGTCTAGATTGGAGTTGAGAGAAAGCTAGCCAGCTAGCTAACGTTACTGTCGTCAGGTTGCTTGTTAGCGAGCTAGCTCGCACTATCTGGCGTCTGTCATCTGTCCTGTTCTGCGAAATTGTCGGATTTTTCACGTTGCGATAACATGCCAGCTAGTATAACTATGCTGCCTCGTAATGTTAGCTGGTTAGCTAGCTAGCTAGCTAGCTAGCAGAAGTCCCCTGTCGTACATAACTTATTACTCTAATGGTACGTTAGTAGCAAGCATAATAGTAGCTAACATTACCGTTACGTTGTAGATGCCAGTTGGAAATGTAGATGGCTCGCGGCTTCCTGTTTAAAGTAGTTACGTATGCGTGAACGTAACCGACATGGTTAACAAACCAGTGGGTGGCCTCAAAATGGCTACATCCACACTATAATTAATGCTATTACCATAAAACTTAAATTAGTAGCCCAGGCTATTATTTACTTCTATCAGTGAACTCAACAGGCCTATATTTGGGACAGGCCTTTAATTCCTTTCACACAAAACTGTTGCTCAGTAAAGATGGGAAGTAAAATAAAATTAAGCCAGTTTAAATATTACTTGTTAAAAAAATTAGGCTTTAGATATTTTATCAATTATGAATCATTACGGCACCTGACCTACCGACACAGCACCACTTTATCCTCTTAAGACAATATTTACAACTTCTATTAGTTTTTATGAAAAACTTTTTTGATCCTTTTGATCTAAAACTATAAAACTATAAACTATAATCGAGGAATAGGCACATAACTTCAGGTAGCCAACAACCCAATTTTATACATCTGAAGAACGTCTATGAAAAAAAAAGGACTGCATGGCAACCAGACCAGGCCTCCAATTGAGACAGGCCTTTATTAGTCAAAATGTGTAGACACACCAGGCTAGTAAAAGGGACTGGGCGTTTAATTGGGACAAAGCTTTTAATTAAAGTTTTAGGGTATATAGATGGTATTCTGAGAACAGGTCTGCTCTGCAGCATCTCAACCTGTCCACACAATATCTACATAATTATACTGCATTCACCATACTAAAGAATGAGTAACCTGACCTGCACAGAGCCTTAACAGGAAGTGAAACAAAGGAAATGTGTTTTGGCTTATATATAGAAATTTAAGCACTGTTATTGTGAATCATTACAAGTGTTTTACAGTTCAATACATCACCTAGTGTGTCACTGAGCATTTCTAATAATTGTATTTTGGAGAACATTCTTTTCAATGCTGTCTCCTCCACATCAAAGTAAGGTGTGTGTACAGTTTAAATCAGACGATGTGTGCCAGACTCGATGCATAACAAATATTATCTTGCATGGAAACCTAGGAAGCAAAATCAGGGTCCTTAACATGTTAAATTAATTCATGACTAAATCAGAGCAGATGAGATTTCTACATCTGACCTCAGTGTGACCTCATAGTATACAGCAGATATTACTGTCAACCTATAATTACTGTATGAACCAAGAAGTGGTGGGAGAAGCCTACATGAAATACAAATTAAGTGAAGACTTCAAACTTCGTAGTGGTTCGGAGGCCAACTGTAACCTCAAGCGATTAAGAGTCTTTTACTACAGAGCCCACAGTTCCCCTGTGATGATTGCTTCTGGGCTTTTTGTCTCATAATTCCTATTCCCCCCTTTTTCTCCCCTGCTCCATGTGAGCATTTTGTTTCCTAGACTGAAGGCTACATAATGATAGCCTCCCCTAGCAGCAGCCAGGCCTCCTCCTGTGAAGCGCCATATGGCACAGGGATCGGGGGGATGACATCAGTTTCCACTTGGAAGTCCAAGTCAGGCCTTTAAGACGACCCATCCCTCTTTACACATCTGTGACATTCATTTAAGGAGGCCCGTCCCGGTCGGTCAGACGGAACAACCGGAAAAGAAAGTGGCCCGTTTTACCTCCTCCTCCAGAGCTGTCAGCAGCGGCACATAGCTCCCTCTCTTAGTCACTACCTGCTGAAAAAAAAAAGCTCCCAAGCGGGAGAGAAAAATGTTAATGTGGAAGTGGGATATCCACATCATTCACAAGTACAGCTGAGTCACTCGGACTCTGTTGAGACTCGAGAAAGTAAAGAATTTTATTTTATGTTCTTAACAACCCTATTTTTCATGTGCTCCGGCCATCCTTGTTGACTCAGTGGATGTTTCTGTCACTATTCTGCAACCTATTATTTTAAAGAAAAATAACTTTTGTAGTCTCCAACCTGCGGCTCCAGAGCTGCATGCCGCTCTTTAGACCATTGCTTCCCAACTAGTGGGTTGTGGTCCTAAAGTGGGTAATGGGTCCATTCTGAATGGACCGCACGTGAAGTTTGTAAAAAAACACACTTGATTTTTAAGCACAGTGAATTTCCAGCACAAGCTTTAAGCTTGAAATGCCGTTTCCTGCTGTTAAGTGAGTAAATAATGGACAGCTACTTGACAGAGACAGCAAACTAGCTTGACGACATGGCCAAACGCAAGTGTGACACTGAATATATTAAACTTTGTGGACCTTGAACTAATGACTAAGGAGAATTCTGGACCCCACAGCTGGACTAGTTGGGAACCACCGCTTTAGACACTGTGACTCCCTGTGGCTTTGACATAAAAATCTATTGAAATAAATAATGGTTATTTTTTAACATTCAGATTTTCATTTGTCATTGTTGGCAGCCTAAACTGATTGTTGCATTCTAATATTGTAAAAAATGTATAGCCTATACATCGAATTAGAAGATGTTTTCCATTTCATCAACTAAACGTGCGTCATACATCTACGACCTGGAGCCTTTAAATTTTACCCGACTTCAGTTGTGGTGGCTAGATTAATTGATTAATTTGCTTTCACCATCAACACTGCAAAGATAAAGTACTAAATAATTATATATTACACACTGCGGAGTAGCCACCTTGTAGTAAATCATTTTAATGAATGTTCTTTAGACTTATTTGTAATTTTTATGGGCTAATTTAAACTTAATAGGCTGATAGGCCAATAATGGCTCTTTTAATAGTAAAGGTTGACCCCTGCTTTAGCCCTACCGCACTGTTGTGCACGTTCACGTCTAGGGATAGGGTGTCCTGCTTCTTGTTGGTATGGAGGGGTGTTATGAAGTGTTAGGGCTAGATGGCCCTCTAAATGGAAGTTTTTCACAGGTACAATCCAAACCGAGTTTTGCGAAAAATCACTGGCAAGATGGCTCAGTAACCAACTAGCTAGCTAGCCAGCTAGCTAACGTAACTTTGTTTTTTCTGATTTGTGCAAGACAGTCCCACATCTTGACATGAAAAAACCCATTATACCCCCTTTAATGGCACATGACGCCTAAAATTTAACTAAAGTCAAGCAGCGAAGTTGCTAAACTCTAATATCAGTGCAGACTGGCAGGCTAGCTAGCAGCACAGGTTGCTAACGTTAGCCTACAGAGTTCTGCTAGTGGCTTAATAATAAAACAGTGTTCCTTTTCATGACTTGTGTAATCTATTGATAGCTTTAATCTTAAGTTGTGAACACACGGTGAGTGTACATGTTTTTCTATCGCCATCAGATAAACAGCAAATACTGTGATAATACCATTTTTGCTGCAGTCACGCCTGTTTACGTAAACGCCACAGATGACGATACCAATACCAATAACTTTTCAGGACCTTTAAGTCTCAACCATTAACCCTTGTAGCTCTGCTCTGAAGGGCAAAGGGGCATTCGAAAACATGGCGTAGGGGTAAATATAAGAAATGGGATTGGGTGCTGATGTTAAAGCAGCTATAGTCGATATTTTTATATCACAGATGGATCACATCTACTTGTGGATGAAAGGCATCTCCCATAGTGTCGAAACCCACCGCAAAATATCACCCAAATCTGCACTCGTTATCAGCTGCATGTAGCATTTTAGCAGCTTTCAGCTCCATGTTTTGGTTTTCGGTCCACTACTTTACTGCTTTAGTTCACTCTCACCGTTCTCATTAGCACCGTCTCCAGCTGCAGTTGGCAGATGTTTGCAGTCAAACAGCTCTGATTAACCCACTGCACGCCACCTGCCCTGCACTAAACGACGGAGATAGTTAGCCACTAGCTGCTGGTGACCAAGGTGAAGCGTTTAGCAGCTAGAGAGTCAATTCAAACAGGTATAAACACTTTGTGGTATGACATGTCGTACTTTATTTAAGGCATATTGAGGCCTTACAGTGAGAGTACTTACAACTGTAATAGACTTCTGGTATTGTATAGAGCTTTGAATTAAAGTCAAGTGGCACTTTGTTACAGTTCTATTTTTTGTATAGCAGTTTGAGAAGTGGAATGAACTTAGATTCCCAAGCCCAGTCATGTTACTGTCATTCATTTGACTGGCTTGTCTGTGGACTTCATTGATCTTCAACAGCAGAGACGTGTTAGAAAATATTAAAGGCAGCTGTTGTGTCATCTGAGGCCCGACAGAGCCTCAGTTCCAGGCTTTCTCCTCCACACAGTGCAGCTTTTATGTTGTGTCCAACCTAATAATTAACTCTGAGCTACACTGCCAACAGGTCTCCTTTTGAAATTGTTCTTACAGTAACTACAAAATGTGGACCAGCTTGTGCACTGGGGTGATAAGTGCTTGTAAAATATTTGAAATTAAATTCTGATTGTTTTTTTTGTTTTCCAGGTGCAGTTGTTGATGAATCCAATGGAAAAGTTCTTGTGGTCCAAGACAGGAACAAGGTACGTGTGTCACTTTGTTTGAATATACTTTACATTCTAACCAGGGCTGCACGATATATCAGGCAATATTAACTTCCGCGATAAATACATCTCAAAAAGCTACAATATTACATGATTATCATTAAGGCGGCCCACTAATTACTCGACCAAATGTTAGTTGACCAGAAAGGTCATTGGTCAGCAAGATTTCATTGGTTGCTTAGTCGTAGAAAAAAACAACAAAAAAACAAATTTGAAACTCAATTAGGAGCTGCGCCTTTTCAAAATAAATCCAAACCTATATGATTGGACCATGTGGGAATTTAATTTGAAAGGACAGACACAGGAAGTGTTCATGCTCTGCAGTCAGACAGGAGTCAGGTTAATTGGTCGACTACAAACATGACGTATCATCAGAAACATGGGAGTAGCTAGATGCCCATTAGCCCACAGCGTCATTAACAGGCAGCTCGCTCAGTGTGTGACGTGCACTTGTAGATAAAATATAGACCTATATTAATGAAGGTTCATTAGTACGGTTTTGTATTTCTCTGTAATGTAGCACAGTGTTAACAATGTTACTGATACTATTCTTTCTCACACCTTCAACTCAAACCACCAAAATATATCATTTAATCATTAAATTAATATTGTAAACATGCGGGTGACTAGTCAACTAATGGCCCTAAATGACGACTGTTGGTCGACTAGGAAAATTCTTAGTCAAGGGAAGCCCTCAATAATAACATGCATCCCTACTAAAAACACAGAATAAAGCAGTTTCATGTTAAAAATCTATGTTTCTCCGATGCTGTTCGACACAGCAGGGGCTGCCCCATTTCAAGACATTTTAATGCGGAAAAGTTACGTATTATGTTTTTAATATTTGTTTATTTTTCGCAAGTAATATTGTTATCATGACATTCAATATAATCTTATATTTTCCTCATATCTTGAAGCCCTAATTATAATCAGTTGCCTATTATAACATTTATTAAAGATAAAATATGTTATATTTTTGCCATGTAGGCCATATTAATTGAATTAAATTGAGATACAAATACTTTCTTTGTTTTATTTCCTGTAAATTTCTGCATGTGTTGGCTGTAGATTTGCTACTTTCCTGCAGGAAACTGAAATTTAGAAAAAGGATGGATGAAAATTCAGTTAGTTGTTTTAAATCAGGAATTCATCATATGAAAAAGTGAACTGTAAGCACAGAGCAATAATTATTAATCCAAGGTGCAGTTAGTAAGTAGGCAGAATAACACAGAAAGAAAAATTATGACATATTTTGGCTGGTTGAAATTATTTTTGGCAGCTAGTTCACCAGCTCTTGCCTGGTTGAGCCAAAAAGCTCCAGTAATATTGAACACTGATTCTTCCATCCACAGTGAGAAACTGAGCCAGTGAAGCAGCAGATATTGTGGTGCTGCTAAAACTGTCTGTGATTAGTTCTGTTTATTTAGCGAGTTGTATATTGCCTCTGTTGATCCAAACATGGGTGAAAATCCTCTCGGACCCTCAGCTCCTCTCACACTTAACATAGCTCCACACAACATTAGCTGACCTCAAGCAAACATGCTGTTTACATGAGCTGAATGCACTCAAACAACTTTGTGAGTGCGCTCCTCTGTCAGCTCTCACAGAGCTTCGCTGTAGTGCTTGAGCTGTTATGAGCTTGACTTACAACAGGCCTCTTTTAAAAGCTTTTCTGCACAGATTTGTTTGCAGTCTCAAAACAAGATTGCACCACGATGCTGCAATTTAGAGAGCAATTATGTTTTTAAGATACACCGTCTAACTCAACTCGACACAAATGAGGCAACAAGTAAAGACCTTTCCACAGAAACTTTTTTTTATAACCTTAAAATTGGCTAAACTGTTCTGGGGAAGGCAGCAGCAACCCCTGGTCTTAATACAAACATACTATTTTCTAATGTGACCACACATCACCACCACTTCTGCTGCAGCTGCCAGGAATTCAAAGCATCAAACATCAGAAAGTCCCGGCATTGTGCGAACCCGTGTAACACAAGATACACCAGTGTACAGTAGATCGTATGCACAGTGGGAATGCTGTAACTGTAGCTTTCTTCACACATGAGCCCTTCATAGCACGCCACTATTATAGGATGAAGCGAGAACTATGGTGACATTTTAACTGCTCAGAATGCCAGCACAGAGTTACAGAAGTGTGAAACCTCAGAGCACCTTAGCATCACACAGTTGCTGCAGATTTGTCAGCTGCACATCCATGATGAGAATCTCCCATTCCACCACATCCCAAAGGTGCTCTATTGGACTGAGATCTGGTGACTGTGGAGGCCATTGGAGTACAGTGAACTCATTGTCATGTTTGAGATGATGTGAGCTTTGTGACATGGTGCGTTATCCTGCTGGAAGTAGCCATCAGAAGATGGGTACACTGTGGTCATAAAGGGATGGACACGGTCAGCAACAATACTCAGGTAGGCTGTGGTGTTTAAACCATGCTCAGTTGGTACTAAGAAAATCTCCCCCACACCATTACACCACCAGCAGCAGCCTGAAGCGTTGATACAAGGCAGGATGGATCCATGACGCCAAATTCTGACCCTACCATCTGAATGTGGCAGCAGAAATCCAGACTCATCAGACCAGGCAACATTTTTCCAATCTTCTTGGTGAGCCTGTGTGAATTGTAGCCTCAGTTTCCTGTCGTTAGCTGACAGGAGTGGCACCTGGTGTGGTCTTCTGCTGCCCATCTGCTTCAAGGTTGGACAAGGTGTTGTTGCTTCAGAGATGGTCTTATGCAGACCTTGGTTGGAACCAGTGGTTATTTGACTTCCTGTTGCATTTCTATCATCTTGAACCAGTCTGGCCATTCTCCTCTGACTTCTGGCATCAACAAGGCATTTTGGCTCACTGGATATTTTCTCTTTTTGGGACCATCCTCTGTAAATACTCAGACCAGCCCGTCTGGCACCAACAACCATGCCACATTCAAAGACACTTAGATCAGCTTTCTTCCTCATTCTGATGCTCGGTTTGAACTTCAGAAGGTCGTCTTCACCATGTCTACATGCCTGAATGCATTGAGCTGCTGCCATACGACTGGCTGATTAGCTATTTGCGCAAAGAAGCAGTTTAACAGGTGTACCTAATAAAGTGGCCGGTGAGTGTATATGACAACATGTCATTTGGGTTAACCAACCCCTTTAAAAGTAATGGTTTCCCTCCAAAATATATACACAATACAGAAGTTATTGAATTTCAAATAACATAATGTGCAACAAACGTCCTGTTGTGCAGTCTTACTGCTTATCTCTCTTCAGTCTCTTAAAATTCCAGTAGGAGTAGTCTGAGAGGGCACACATGGTTACTGTAAAATCTGCATCATGTGACAAAAATAGTTCACATTATAACCGATGGGATTTAAGTGGGCCTGTTTGCTGACAACATGTAACATGTGTCCCGGCCAGGAATCTTAAGAGCATATAATGCATCTTGATGGCTTTTGTCCAGAAGCAGAGGGAAACAGTTAGTGGCCTGGACGTGTGGGAAGTGTTTTATCTCTTCCTCTCCTCCTCCTCCACCTCCTCCTCCTCCTCCTCCTCATCGAGCTGTTTACTGGAAATGGGCTCTATAACAGTCTGGCCCTTGGCAGTACAGAGTCTCTGGCAGACCGAGCCAGTTCAGAGCTCACGAAGGGTTACGAACTTCCTGAAAAGAAACCAGGACATTATCACTCTCACATCTGAACAAAAGACAACTGACAGATCCCCCGGTGGACTGAAGGCAATTTCATCCATCGGGGAGCTGAATGATGTCATGGGTGTTTGATTTAACCATCGTTCAATCATTTCCCAGCTGATTTAGCGTGAACAGTTTGCGTATGTTTGGCATCACAGTGTTGGTATTATTACTTTCACATTTAGCTCTGACAGATCCTTTGAGGGTTCTGCATTTTACTCTGCAAAAAACCACACAGATTAGAGTTACACAAATTCTCTTTATTCCTTCTTTACCAGCACATTTTAGAAACAGCTCCAAAAATATAGCATTCTGTTGACAATACATGAAAATAGATGCTGTAGTGCATTTGTGTTCCTCACAACGAGGGGACTGGTAACACAATGATAAGATGATATAGCATTTCTGGAAAAAAGGCACTGCATACAAAATTCTTTACGTAACTACAAAAATATATATACAACACTGACATCATAATTTAACCAGCAGCATACTGTCATTAAATATCAAGGATAAGTGGTGAAACAGTTTTGGAAGACACACTTCACCCCATCAAATGTAAAAGTCTCCAGAGTGTAATATAAAACAGAAAAGCAAAGGATGCTCAGATCAGAGCATTAAACATCTCTCTGCCTGTGTAACTATTAGTTCAGATATATATGATGATCCTTCAAACACATAATCTATTTATTTTCTACTGCCACACTGTGAGACGGCGCCACTGATTTAAAGAACTTGCGAGACACAAGTGACTTCAAACTGGACGACTGGAAGATTTTATGATTCAAAACGATTAAATTGACATTATTTTTACGTACATGTTGATATGACTCTAAGATACATTTACAGCAGTGCCATCTATTACAATTAAATTTTAACTTTGTGTTTCAGACAAAGAATGCTTGGAAGTTCCCCGGTGGCTTGTCTGATCCAGGAGAAAATATTGGTGAGTGTTACGCTCAACAGAGCAAGAAACTAATACAGTACATCTAGCTAAATCCTTCGATTTTAGTATTATGCTTAAAGGGACAGTTTACCCCACAATCAAAGGTGCATATTTTTCCTCTTACTTGTAGCGCTATTTATCCGTCCAGATTGCTTTGGTGTGAGTTGTCGAGCGTTGGAGATATGGCACTCAGCTTGTGGTGCTCAAAGTGCCAAAACAATACATTTGAAAAACTAAATAGCAATGTCTCTTTCTAGAAATCATGACTCGGTTACTCAAGATAATCCACAGACCTTGTTGTGAGCAGTTTAATGTGGGAGCCGTAACACCCCGCAGAAGGAAGCGTGCATCTACTCATGGAGGAGAGGCATCGTCCTCAGCTGAGCTGTAACATTAGCTAGTAGTAAATGCATGCTTCCCTCTGCTTGATGATACGGTTGGCTAGCAGTTGGCGGGTGTAGCTCAGTAGAAAGAAAATAGTTCCAACGTGAAAGTGCCGGGCTCCAAGGAATGCTGTTCAGCTTTGCAGCAAATTTTTCCCAGTGGCCACTTGTCGTATCGAAGCAAAAAAAAAAAAAACCTTACTTTTCCCCATAGGCCACCATTATAAAAGAAAACTGTTGACAGGACACCTCGAACTGCAAACAAGGCCAATTATGAATCTTTCTGTTAGGAGTTTTTGATCCACAGAGGTTTTATATTTGTAAAGCCTTTCTTGAGCCAAGAAAAGCATTTTAAAAGTCTGTCATGTTATGACAGTGAAAAGGGAAAAGGGAACTCATGGGCGGGGACAGCAGGGGAAACACAACTGCATATATTCAGTGGGTTGCATGCCACAGAAGCAAACCCAGAAGCTAGAAACTTTTTTTGGCATATGCCCCCGGAAAGCAACTCCATTGGAATGAATGGCCACATTCTTGGGATCCATTATCTAGTTATTGTCTGTGGATTATCTTTATCAACCAGGTCATGGTTTCTGTGAGACACTGCTGTGCTTTGAGCACCACAAGCCGCAGGCCATCTAGTTCCATCATATTCAAGAGAAGGCAGACATCTCTACGGCAGATATCTCCAACACTCACACTCACAATTAAGATTGATAAGTAGCACTACAGAGGAAAAACATGTGTTTTTGATTTTGGGTGAACTGTCCCTTTAATGATGATACACATACATTCATTTTAACTGTACAAAATAAGGCACATAATATATACGCAAAGAATTATATCTGTCTCTCCAAATTCACCTTTAACATTTTAAAAGCAGCTTTAATATTATATACATGACCCAACCCAAAAAGCAGCGTCAAACATTTGTCTTTACAAAAAATATATGAATTCTCCCTTTTCCCCACGTCTAAACATCAAGGTGACTCTGACAAGGGAACATAAATATATTCCTATTCCGTCAGAATCTTTAAAATGCCTCCACATACATTTATTTATATGTTACTGAATCTCTTTCAGGTGCCACTGCCGTCCGTGAAGTCTTTGAGGAAACCGGCATTCACTCTGAGTTCAGATCTCTGCTCAGCATCCGGCAGCAGCACAACCATCCGGGCGCTTTCGGCATGTCGGACATGTACATCATCTGCCGACTCAGCCCTCTCAGCTACGACATCAACTTCTGCACTCAGGAGTGTCTGCGCTGCGAGTGGCTGGACCTCGCCGAGCTGGCCAAGACTAACCACACTACGCCCATCACCTCTCGCGTAGCTCGGCTTCTGCTTTACGGCGTGGAGCAGGGCTTCGACAAGATCGACCTCACCATGGAGGAGCTTCCTGCTGTCTACTCTGGCATATTTTACCAGCTGTACCACAGGCAGCTTCCTCCGACACAAAAGTCCTAGCAGGCCATCATCAACCTGATGGGGTTAGCATATCATGGCTAGCTATGATGACACAAGGTTGCCAGTATTACTCATATTTAAATTGTATTTATGACTGAAATTGTGTTTTTGGTGTGTTTTTTCACACTAGCTGTTACTGTTGAAGAAATATGGTGCAATAGGTCTACATGAACATTCACTTTGTGGTTTTTAAACAGATATGCCACTATGGTGCCTCCAAGTTTTCTGCTGTGTTCAGACCACCGGTGACAAAGCAACAGGGTACAAGTCATTTCAATGGAAGTCAGTGACATGAAGCTACAAACTGATGCCCTACACTTGTAGCTGCGTGAAGGGTATGACGCACCACAAATCAAAGTTGAGCTGACCTCAACTTTTGTCAGTGCTTGCAGACATACGCACACTAGCAGATGATAACATAACTACGCCAACAAGCAGTTGAGCAAAACTTCAACAGCCAGCCATGCTGTAGCTTTGTCGCTCAACTTTGAAACGTGCCAGACTGTAAAGCCAATAAGACATACTGGCCAGATAGTGTAACTACAACTTCAAAGGTACGTCACATGATGCAATTGAGCCCAAAAGACTTTTTCCTTCGGACTTAAACTGGGAAAGAGACATCTGTAAGTCAGTGGTTCCCAACTGGTAGGTAGCAGTCCAAAAGTGGGTCGGGGGTACATTCTGAATGGACCGCAACTAACTCGCAAATGTGTCAAGTTTGTAAAAGACACTCTTTTTTTAAGTACAGTGAATTTCTGGCACATAGCTTTTATTTTGAAGTGCCATTTCCTGCTGTAGATTTAGTGACTAATGGACAGCTACTACTAGCTCGATGATATGGCCAAACACAAGTATGATGCTTAATGTATTAAGCTATGTGGACCTCTGACTACAAGGACTTCTGGACCCCGGGGCTGGACCAGCTGGAAACCACTTCCATAGACTATATAATAGAAGCCACAGAAGTGAAGCCAAAACATCTCGACTGCCCCCTGGTGGCTGACTGCAGTACAGGTCATAAACCCCGCCCCCTCCATGTTAGCGTCTCTAATGCATTTGCTTTATGGGTCCAACAACGCGGAAGATCCGTCAAACTTTTTGGCTTCATGTGCCACTGAGCAACTTTCAAAGAAAGGAACTGTGCCCTGCCTCCAACTCTGTATCCTGCTGCTGTAGCTTTGTCGCCCCAAGTGGGAACAGACAATTAGACAGTTGATTAACATTTTTTGGCAGCCATTTTAGAAGCCCATATCTGCTGGGCAGTATTGGCTGTCAGCAGCTGATTAGGTTTTTAAAGGAACTGTTTTGAAACTATACTGTATTTTTAACTGGAAATATGTCTTTAACAAGCTATCCACCAGTGTCAGGTGACCACATACTAGCAGAAGCTAACAATAGTAGCTAGTAGCTGCAATAATAATATTGGCTGCCTCGCTGAATTAGCCTACTCACTGGTCAAAAAAGTAAAACTCATCCTCTTGTTCAAGTTAACTGCCTTTCTGTCGTCAAACTAGACATCATTAAAACAATAATCTCGTATTAATAAATGTATAAATTATGCTCCAGTGCCATGCAACATTTGGAGTTTTTGCATAAATCTCAGATTATACACTTACAAATGGGGAATGCAGTTTTATCGGAAAACAAAGACAAGCTCAGGAAACATCTGCTGTATCCGTTAAGTGTGTAAAGATACCAAGTAGTGTTAAGTAATTATTAAAACAAACATAGTAAGTAGTATTTGGGTTTTGATTTAAATGCGTTTAGTGTGCTTAGTCTTCTTTTGTCAAACAATTAAGTATCACAAAACTCTAAATTCTGTTATTTAGTTCCCTTCTCTCTTATCAAGTTATAATAATGTAGGATTTTAGTGCATTTTCTAAACCCTCAGTACTGATGAGACACGGTTTATCAGAATATTCCTCTGTATATATGTTGCTGCTTAAATCCCTCAGCCAGAGAGAGAAGATCTGAATAGGTAAAATGAACACTGCCATACTTTAGGGGTGCACTTGAGCAAGGCACCTGGCTCCAGTTGCACTAGTGTAGCAGTTGGCTGGTCCCCAGTAAAAAGAGCCTGGTTTTACTGGGAAGCAGCCAGTTGTGAATGCAGCCACTGTTTGAAAGTTAAAGCTGAATAAGAGCAGACATGTTTCAGGATATAACAGTCAGAAAGCATCACAGCTATATTTGGGCAATGTTGATGGAACACTTTGTCTTCATTGCCGTCACATCTTCTTCTTTGTTGCTGCCACTAAGACATTAGTATTTCTCAGTCGGATCCCCAGATTAGCATTTGGCAGACATTGGAAGAAAGAGAATGGCCTTTTGACCCGGTCCAGTTTTGCTTCCAGACTTGTACTGGCCAGTCCGCTTCAGTGCCACGTACATGTTTGGGTACTTCCTGGAGCGGTAGGTGTTGTAGTTGTTGCTCTCGAGTCGCTCTAGGAAGTAGCATTCATCTGTCGCTCGTCTCTGGAGAAAAAGACACAGAAGAATAACAAGTTTAATTTGATGTTTTACTACGCTGTTTAGTGAGGAACTGCAGGGGTTCTGGGGGATTTAAACAGGATTCAATCAGCAGCCTTTGGCTCACAGGACAAATAAATACTGTTAATTCACCTAAATAAGCTTGTAAACTGAGAAAAAGTAAGGAAACTGTGAACTGTCTTTAATTTCAACAAATGGAAACTGAAGTTAGGTCATTCGGTTTGTACGTTTAATCTAAATGTCAATGTGTTTCTTTCCAAACTGCTGCTAATCCTCTCTGCTTATGTTCATCATTTCTGTCATGGCATTTGATCAAACATGTTACTTTGTTTGGATGACATTCGATTAAATTTGTTTAATATATGTTGTAGGAAAGGCAGAACATTTGTAATGCTGACATTTTATGACATTAAATTACCTCATAAAACACCCAGAGTCAAATGTCACCTTTATGTTGAAGGAGACTGTCGGGTTTGAATAATTCCTCCTCAGTGTTTCACACTTCACACAGTAAAGACATATTTTAAAGGAAACCATGCCTGACCAGGGACATTATTACAGCTCTATGCAGTGTTTGTCTTAGTTGAGCTTCCTTGACTTGTGATTAAACATTAAACAAAGAGGTGAACAGGCTAAAATGTAATTATTGGACAAACTTGGATTTGATAGGAATATACTGTAAATTAAAGGGTTTAAAAAGAACCACAGATGAAGCTCACTATAAAATACAAACTAAACGAGACACCATCCTGCCATGGGATCACTACAGCCACTATCTCACTGATCCACAACTTAAAACTAATGTGGACCAGGGGTGTACAGTGAGGGGGAAAGAGCTCCCTCCCCTACTTCCTACCCCCTACTTCTAGCCTACTTGCTCAAACCACACCCTTTGTCGAACTGTCTTCATTTTGATCTCAGTTGATTTTGAATCCTTTCAAAAACGAAGATTTTCTCCATCTTTTGAATGACTGGGGTTGACTTGTGTTTTGTGCTTTAAGACTGTCCCTTTTAGCTTCTTTTTTGTTTGCTGATCCTGCCCCAGTATCAGACATAACCACAAAATAAAACGACAAAAATAAAATTCTCTGAAGATGAATCTCTTGCTTCCTTAAATTGGCTACTGCATAGTCACTGTAAAACTTTCCCTGGGAAAATGAAAACAATTGGCTTTCCTGGGCAGCGTGCTGCAAATAGTTTTATCTGATTATGCGGGGAATCAGAGTAACTATATAGAAATAGCCAGTTTTTCTCATTAATGGTGTCATTTGCTTGTCTGTCATATAGAGGCATCAATATTAAATTGACACTGTTTCATAACCATTTATCACTGCTGCTTTAAAGGTTCCTGAAAATAATTATTTTAAAAGTTAATACAGGATTTTATGAGGGAAGAAATTCGCACTACATCCATCAAGTTATGTCACACAGGAGTTTCAGTTTCCCTGACTTTGACTCGGCGCAATGTGCCATTGTAGATGAGTCTGAGCGGTTGTAATTTAGTGAGGTTTTTTATTCAGTAGTTTTAAATCGGTGAGGCTCAATAATGCAGTCAATAGTCTTTTTTGCTATAGTCATATCAATCCCATCACAACCAGCTGGTGTTTTGTTCCTGCTTTACTACTACTACACATCTATTAAGTTTCATAACTGCATTACGGTCAAATTCTGACCACGGATAGACAGACATATAAAAATGGCGTCCTGCTTGGGCTGTACCCAACTTATATTAATTATGTCAGTCAATACAAATATTTGACAACTCGTGCCTTTTTTTACCTTACAGAGTTTCGGAGTTCATCCGGATGTTCAGTTCAAATATGCTAACGACGGATCGGAAATATGTGAAATTTTTTTGCTGACACTCGGTGTCAAACAAAAGCTAGAGACTGTCATATTCACTTTCTGTGAGCTGTAAATTCACTACTTCTAAGCAGAAGGCAGAAGATATTGTTATCTGGGAGCCTGACCAGGCAAAGCCTCTGCCTCTGTGTCTGAAGCTGCCTCCACGTCCACAGCTGCCTGCACCAAAGAGCAGCCTGAAAGCCAGCAGCACACACTCTGCAGCTAAATTTTGGAACCGAAACGTCCCCAGAAATAAACCGCACACTGATGACTGTCAACTTGAAGGAATCTCAGTCGACTGAGGGGTCTCTGGCTGATGATTCGAATCTCCAATTTTCAGGGGGCATCCCTAGTTCCCACCATAATAGATGTCACCAGGACCACATTTTACCATGATGACACACAAACACGGACTCATGAGGTGAAAACAATACCAGCTATCACAACACTGTCACAGCTAGTGCTAACACTATCCCTCTTTCATCATTGTCCTTTGTAGAAAATCTCAAGAAATCATTAATTACTGGACGTCTGGCCAAAATTTTACAGCCTTGCTGGGCGTTAACAGACCTACACCCTGTCCAACAAGAAGATTTTGTTTAAGTTTCTGGTCCCTGACTGCACAGAGCTGTGGGGCTATTAGTCAAAGAGGCATTTTCTTTCAAGTGCAACAACCACCCAGGGCTACTTTGTTCACTTTATTATGCAAAAGCAGCAGCTTCCAATAAACAGTAATCCTTTTGTGTCGTGTCTGATTACCCTAGTTATGACAAGTCTAAAATAGCCAGGACACGTGAAAGATATACTAAAGGAAGTTCAAGTAACTGTTGTATCTAATCTACGATTTTTCAATTCAGTCATCTAAGACACAAGTAATTTCCCACCCAGACCCCACATTTTTGTGTCTTAGTGACAAATGGGAACAAGGACTTCTGAAATTGGTCCAGTATTGCACGACAGCGCTGCAGCTGGCACCTACGAAACAGTGAGCAATTGTACACCGTCGATTTATGTCCACTAAAAGTGCTTGTTCTTGACGCTAAAAGGCTCAGATTGTTATTATGAGTGTCTGGCAACATTATGGAAAGGTTCCTCACAGAAGCTGACTTTTTGTTTAAGAGTACGATCCTTTTTGTTGAACCAGAAACAGCGCCAAAGTTGCTAACCCGCCAGACTCCATTTAAATAAACAGTAATTTTGTCATTATGAAAAACACTCAATTTAAATCGACATAACAAAAATAACATCTCAATTTGTCTTACGGCTTTTCCAACAATCACCAACTCTGGTTTGGTTGTAATTATTAATAAATTCAACTTGTTATATGCGATAATATGCTGGCTCTATGCACACTAAAATTGCTGTTGATTTAAATGGTGTCTGGTGGGTTTGCTGATAGTGATTTCTGGGCTGTTTCTGTTTTAATAAAAAGACCATAATCTTCAACAATATCAATCAAGCAATCTTCATTTAATTGTCACATGGAAATAATACATGGTACAACTGTAGAAAAATGGGATCCAATCAGCTTCTTAAACTTGTGCACTGTAATTTAGTCCTTTTTTGTGTCTTCTTACATCGTTGATTGATGTCTTATAACTGTCCATGATTCCAGATGGTTCTGGTAATCCGTGGTTTCTGGTTGTGGAATGATTTAACTGTCCACACATCCCGACCTCAACAAGATGATCCACAGGATCACTTCCTGTACACAGCAGCACTGCACAGCCATTGCCTCTGCACGGTGGAATGTTATAGCAGCTATCCACTGCTGGACCGGGAGCACCTCACATTCATGAAGCACATTCCTCTCCTCTCCTTTCTCTTCTGCTCCATCGGATCAGCATATCGAAAAAGATTCACCATGTTGAATGGGGCTGTGAGGATTTAGCCTAATCTTGCGTGACCAGCCTCCCTTACTTCGGAATGGGAGTCTGGGGACATTCATCTTTCGTTGTGTAATAGAAATGGGCAGGGATATCCAGACCACGTGACGGCATTGCCATAGGTACGGCACGCTGTAAATCCTTAATTTCTCCAATCTTGTGGACGTTGCAGCTCTGCAATATAGCTGAATCAAATGAAGTCATATCCATTTTAATCTCTTCTTGCGATGCACTGAACACTTCCTTTTCTGTTGTACTACGGACAACAATTCGGGGAACAGCAATTCCGGTGTAGGCAGGTGTAAGGCTAATCAGCTGTTGGTCGAGGAAGTACACGGATTTGGAGCGCTGGCTCCCACTGCTGCTGGGAGCCAGCGCTAGTTCTATTACAACTTTCCTATGGGAATGTCCACAGACGACAGAGTCAGCCAGCGTGCTGACATCATCGGCGTCTGTGTAAGAGACTAGATTTAGTCATGTCTCGGTGAATCAAAGGATATTATAGGTCCTGATAAACGTCTGTACAAAGGTAGCAGGATGCTAGTTCAGCTGGTGCCCATTCTTCTCCATCTTTTCCTCGATGTTTACATTTGAAATCATTAACCTGGCTAACTTGCAGCTAGAGAGCTAGCAGTAAAAATTTCTACCTCTGCAGGGATCCTTTCCACAATGTCGTCCCACACTTGGAATAATAATCTGAGCCTCTCAGTGGCAAAACAAGCACTTTAAGTGGTTGAAATAGACGGTGCATATGCCCCAACTGGTTAAGCTGCAGCCTGTTCTGCCACTGCAGACTGCAGGCCTCTCGCTCGACACTGGACCAGTTTCTAAAAATGTGGTCTCCATTAGTCACTTTGACACATAACATAGAAAGATAGGGTCCAGGCTGTGCAGCTAAGCTACCCTTGAATGAAAAGTATTATACAAGAATGTTATTTTGTCAAATGTTTGGGATAGGATAAATATTGAAAATTTGTCTGATCTTTTTCAGATCTTATCAGCAGAACAAATTTCTGCATCGACTTTTGTGTATGTGGTTGGTGTCCATTAATTATATTAGCAAATATCTATTACAGCAGATGACTGTTGCCTCAAGATAAAACATGTGCAGGACCAGACCAGTCAAGGTGCTAAATTAGAGGGAAAAAATTGTAATTTATTTGGCAACAAACTTTAGTCTTCATGTCAGTCTGTATACTAACTTTTCTTTTTTCACACTTCAAATGGTAATAAGAAGGAAGTTAATATCTTGTGGGTTTTTTAATGAGAGCAGAACAGAGAACAACGCCTTGGGTGGCAGCTGCTGTAGCTTCTCATTAGGAAGGAAATGCTCCCTGCCAATTACATGGACTGTGGACAAGCTTTCACAACCACCAAACCACATCAGTCACCAACACTTCACACTTCCACTGCCGCTGTAAGCAACTACTTTGCGGCAACAGACCAGCAGTGGTGCCAAATTGGTGTTGGCTACTTCTCATGAGCACTAAGAAAGTCCTGCAGATCAGTTTAATTTGACAGTACGCCAAGTAATGAGACAAAATACACAAGTTTCCTGTTTTAATTTCGCTCATGTGAAACATCTGACCACTGAGCAACTAAAACAGCAGACAGCATGAAGTCAGGTTGTCTGTTGGTCAGTCAGACAATCTGTCATTTCCTAAAAACCTTTATATAAAAAAAGAAAACAGACTTCAGATGTTCTGCTGCAGGACAGAAAGAAACAATACATAATAGCAGTAAGAGCTTCCAGCAGACACCATAGTGCATCTGCTCACTTCATAGATGAGTGGCCTGCCTTGGATTCATGATAAAGCTTTTACAAAAGTTCAATAAGTGACATCCTCTAACTCTAAATGTCTGTCTCTTTCTACTTAAATCATTATTCAGAAATTGCAAGCCTCTCCGTCAAGTCTGTTTTCCCACACTCTTAGAACTCCTCTCATTCACAGATTTTACGTCTGGACAATAAACTACCTTCCCATGTTTTACGGACCAATCAACTGTTGGAAGCAGCTCCTTAAATATCTTTGTGTTTCTGTCTTTGCTTAAAGTAATTACTGCTCAATCCTTCACCTTCCCATCACCCTGATGACTGTCAGGTTGCCCGTGGAGATCCAAAAAAATTCAATAACAGCCTGCAAATATTAGAGCCCACATCGTTTACCTTTACTTGCTTTTTTCCCACCAGCAGCATCTAGACTCTGTCCTATATCCTATGTTTATGGACCTGACTTCTACAAAGATGCACATTAATTAATCGAGTCTAATCAAATGATGGGCATAATTTTATTATAATTTCTAATGGATCCCTCCTCAGTGGCACTCCCAAGGGGATACAATTGCTGCCTCCTCTCCAGCAAAAAATATTGCAGGCTGATAGTTCTGTGTTTAAGAAGCTGTGGTGCGCACATTTTTTTAACTAATAACTGTAGCGGTATCTTGTGAAACTTAATAACCGAAGGTATCCATTGGTACCAACCATGCTGGCATAGTTCGTCAGAAGGGGAGCTAAATTATGCTCTAAATTTTATTTTTAAACTCTGGCCTGGGAACAACTGGCATGGCCATTGTCAACAGGGTCCTTAACCTCTCACCTCAAAATATCTCAATTAAAAATGGGTTCTATGAGTCTCCCCTAACTTTGAGAGGGCTTGCTCCCAGTGAATGTTTTGTTCCTTCAAATCAATGTACTTCTTCAAATTAAAGCTGTATATTTGCATTTTTAAGAAAAACGACTATCTGAAGATGCATGATTTGTCTAAGATGTTTAGATACATAACACGTTAAAACAGGATTACTGTGGAATTTGAAATGTTAACTGTCTTGGTATTAGGCTACCGTAAAACTTCAATAAATAGCCCAGGCTATTATTTGCTTAAATCACTGAACTTAACTGAACTTAACTTGAAGATTACGGCACCTGGCATACCAGCACAACACCACTTTATCCTGTTAAAACAATACTCACATGGATGAATTTTTAGGAAAAAAAATTTGATCTGTGGACCCTTACAGACTGAGGAAAAATGAACAACTTACAGGGTAATTGAGGAATGGACACATAATTTGAGGTAGCCAAAACCTGCTTTTATACATCCGAATAACTTATATTAAAAAAAAAAAAAAAAAAAGGAATTGCTTGGCAACCAGACAAGGCGTCTAATTGACACCGGCATTTATTTGTCAAAATGTGTAGCTACACTGGGCTAGTAAAAGGGACTGGGCGTTAAATTGGAACTGGGCTTTTAATAGAAGTTTTACAGTATGCACATCAGATAATTAGTAACATTAACTTTAAAATAAACCAATGTATATTGGTATGTGATTCTTTAACTCTCTAAATTGACACAGTTTTCACCTAGCTTTCAACGGCATAACTGAACACCTGACATTCAGTTATGGCTTTTGGTTTTGGTGTGCCGCCCCTGTGAAAAAGTTCTGGGGGCGCCAATGTCTCTTCTTACTGAAGTGAGAATGGGAAAATCAGAGCCAAAAAACATCTTGCACAAAATGTATGTCTTTCTTCGCCACTCTGGACTGTGTGGGTATAAAATCAAACCCCAGGTCTCGTAACAAAATGTGATGTGGATTTGAACACTCAAACTCAAACTTGCCATGACGAGTGTCATGATTTTGTTGGCCAAGGAAACGTTAACGCCGAGGACGAGACTAGAGAGTGGAAAGAAAGACAAATGGTCGAACTGATTGGATTTGGGAGAGACGCCTTGGCTGGACCCAAATTCTGTTCAAAACAAACAGGAGGTGCCGAGATACCAAACCGTTCCCATACAGCTACAACAGGATCATTCTGACCTGGGCCTATTTAATGTTGTGGCTAACCTTTTTTATTCTCAGTGCTGACTGTGACAAATGAATGTCAAACTAATTATTTCCCCACGGGGGAGGATTTCTTGTCGGGTGGCTGGTAAATATTTGGTTTCCAAAACACAGCGGTCTAAATGCTGCGTGTGACAGAGGCGGACGACATTTACTGTAGGTGTTTAATTCAGATTTGTGAAAAGCACTGTTGGTTAAAAAAAAAAAAAAAAAACTCTTTGAACCCTTTCAGGAAATCTTTTCACGGTAATCTCCAAACTCTTTCCAGAACAGACACAATTCAACTTTTGTTAACAGAAAGATGTTGATCCATCTCACTCACCGCTCCAAACAGTCGTCCATCTCTGTTCATCGCCAGATAGCGATTAGCACAGACTCCTTTGATGACCACCTCCCCCACTGAGGTCGCCTGGAGTTGAAGCTTTACTGCGGAAAAAGACAAATGTGTATTTGAACAAAATGAGCAAACACAGACGTCATCAGTAGTTTGTTTGTGGGATGTTTAGTCAGAGGAGAAAGATTAAGTGCACCCATTTTATAGAAAGATAAAGGGGCACAAACATCCTACGCATCAGATTTCTACACTAAATCCCAACAAAATAGTAATCTCTCCTCTTGAGCCAGCAATGTGAGAAAGAAATCACTGTAAAGATGCTATGTGAGGCATTTCAATATGAAATATTTACTCCAGCTGTAAAAACAAGTAACAGTTGTGGCAGTCTTTGCCTTACAGACAATCTGAGCTATCTACCTGCTATCTACAGGACATTAAATGTTGTGTGCAAACTAGACGAATTCTAGAGGGAAGACTGGTGATAAGCTTCGTAGCACAAAACAGATACAGTAAACTGTTCTTACAGAACAAACTAAGCAAAACAATTATTCAGAGATAATGATATATTAATACTTACAGCTGCTTAGTCAACTTAAGATGGCGGTGCAACAAAACAAGCTGACAGGTACACTGCCACACAGCTTAAAAAGTTGTTAAAGCTAATGTCATAGCAAATAAAGTGCCCTTACACATCAGACTTCATTTGTCGTGTCTGTGTTCACCTAATAAATTTAAGTCCAATATTCATTCTCATTTCAGCTCTGTTTTGGTCTCCACTTACTCTTGAGAACAATATCTAGCTCTTAAACTGGTAGATGCTTGAACCTGAACTTGCTATACGTTGCTAGCTGCTAATGTTTGTTTGGTAGCGTGCAGGGGGCTTATCAGAGCATGTTCACTGTAAACAGCTGCCTGCTGCAGCTCCAAACAACACTGATAAGAGTGGAAAGAGTAAATCAACAGCCTGGTCAGCAGAATAAAATGTTGGCATTGTACATTTCTACAAACCATGAATATCTTACAAATCATATTAGCATTTCTAAAGTGACGCAGTGTATGACTTGACTTTGTCATTTGGAGGTAGAGGGGATGGAGGGTGACATGATACTCAGGTGAGGTGCCTGCCAAGCTGCAAACCACTGTTTGAGACCAACAAACAACAAAACCGGTTTTTAAGAAGTAATCACTGTGTTTCCTGTGGCTTTTTAGCCACCAAACGTGGGTGTTTATCAGCAATCTGTTGCTGTGTTTCCACTGTGTGCCACGTAAAAGGACTGTTTTAACTGAGGCTGCGTTTCCAGATGTGATTCTGCCTTCTTTTTTTTTTTTTTTGATTATTTTTTGGATGTTATTGTTGGCTTTATTGATAGGACACCTACAGAGAGACAGAAAAGATGGGCAAGAGAGGGGGGATGACATGCAGCAAAGGGCTGCAGGTCAGAATTGAACCGGGCTGCTGCAAAAGCCTGCCTGCATGAGACTCACATTCTACCAGGTGAGCAAGAGGTCACCTCAAATACAGATATTTTAAGCCAAAACATGATCTTTTCCCAACTATAACCAAGTGGTTTCTGTGCCTTAACCTGACCACACCTTAAATACAGAGTTGCTGAAACTAAAATAAACACTATGCAATAACGTGCAAATGTAACGTATCCGTGGTTTGCACAGACGTGGATGGATGGATGGGTAGTTGTGCTTCACTGATCCCAAATTGGGGCATAAAAAGAACCTTAAAAACTCCATAAAGTGTTATCTGAATAACTTTTAAAGCTCCACATGGTTTAGCCCCCAGTTATATGGCTGAGCTTCTGAATGCCTACGCTCCAAGTCATGACCTGAGATCCTCAAGCCTACCCTCACTAGTCGTCCCTAGATTGAGGCTGGTAACTAAAGGTGACCACGCTTTTACCATCAAGGCCCCAAAGGCTCTAGAATTCTCTGCCTGGGGATATCAGCCCAGCTATCACATTACCCATTTTCCTTTTTTATGCCTGATTTGTACGTTTGGATTTGTAACTTTTGTGTTTTATTTCCTTTTGTTCTACTTTTTGCCTCTGTACACACTATTTTTCTCAGCTCTTAACTTTTTTTTTTGGTCTTATTTTCATGCACTTTGTAAAGCTCTTTGTAACCTTGGTTTGATAAATGCTACGCAAGTAAAATTATTATATTATTATTAATAGAGTTAGTGAGAAATATTGATTAACGTGGCTTTAAATATCCTTTACGGTTGTTAATTTTGGTTTTAATATCTTAAAAATCCTGGGGATTTATCAGTTTCTGTTGCATAAACCACCTCATCTGCATTTTCTCTTGAGTGTCCTCTTCATTTTTGACGACCCAAAGATACTTCTGCAGTAAACAGATGAAACACCACTGGTAACAATAAGACAACTCCCATCATCCACTGAACAGTAGCATTACAGTGCGGCTGACAGCAGTCTGAGCACGCAGTACCTGTTGGCTTTGTGACAGCTTCAACACAGATGTATCAAAATCATCTCCACATTTCTTTTTCTTTTTGTCTGAAGAGGCAACGCTGCTTGCCAACAAAGCATTCTTTGTCTGAAGCTAGAGCCACCAAAAAGGAAGCAGAGGCTCCATAAGGTAAATTAGTGGATCTGTACAGAATTAATCCAAATTAAGACTTCAGATAGACGCGCATCTGTCTGCAGTTAAGCCCGCTGCTTGGATGATTCGTGTCACAGATCAAAGAGGTGTTCCTCCCTGAAAAAAGCTATAATTGCTGTGAGTGTGCTGTCGTGTGTTCAATGTTTACTGGGAGTATCATGTCCCACAGCTATTGTGAACACAGAAGAAACTTTACTTCAACTGTGCTCGTCTCTGTGCAGTGTGATCCTATCTGTAATTGTCCTGGGGTTGTTGACGGAAGAGCAACGATTCGTGGCAACATATATGTGTATACAGGCAATATATTCCTCTGAAAGTTTGGGCATGGGGGATAGATTAGAGTCCCATCCACGTTAAGATCCCACTTAAGGATCTTTGGATATATTGGGTAACATTTCTCACTAACATTTCCAATTCTAACTGGCAGGTACGTTGTGTTGTCCAAAAAGTTGGCAGGTCAATCAGAGCCTTAACAAAAGGACCATTGATGAAATCACACAGCTCAGGTCACATTAACTGTAAGAAAACATTACGGTAAAAAGCTAAATGATTAATAACGATTCCTGTTTCGTGACTCATTGTGGATATAGTCCTTTCTGAAGCCATGATACTGACTCTGGTTTTAATGCAAACTAGAGCTGGGTGATATGGAGAGAATTGACTTAATGCTTCCATATTAATATTGCAATGACACTGTAGGGTTAACTACAGGTGCTTTTACTAAATATTTTAAATATGAAATTTTTGATAATCATAAGTAATGTGGATAAAATCACTAAATCTCTGACATACTTTCTTCCGCAGTAAAGGAGGTGAGCTTACTGTCCTCCTCCTGCAAACACTAGGTGAAACTGAGTAAAAAGACACAACTGGGTCCGGAGTGAATGTCTGTCAAATATCCAACTTGAGGGGATAGTTCAAATGTTTTGAAATGGGGTTGTCTGGAGGAATGGTTAGTGTATTGTATACAGAAGATGTCAGTTTGGAGAAGCAGACAGGAGGCCAAGCATTGTACCGCTGTGGACGAAGGGAGCCGCAAAACGTATTTCAGCCACCTAAAACTAGTCCCACCTAAAGGAGTCAATATCAGTTTAAGTGTGCACTACATTGAGTGTGTTTTCACCTCTTTACCTTTCCGCCAGACAGCCCATTCCGACAAGGAAGCCATTACTTAAGTTCCCCCTCTACACTCTTGTAAGAGCCACCAGACTCCATTGACAAAAACAGTAATTTTAGCTCACTGAACACGGGAGGTGCTGGTCTATAGCTGCCTCGATTGGTTTGTTAGTTTGTGTTAATGTGTGACTTTTGTGGATGTGAAAAACCCTTTTAAATGTTTTTTTTTCTTAAGAAGAAAAAAATAAACTGATTAAGGCAGCTTTAGACCAGCAGTGCCTCAATTCAGCCATGTTAAATCACGGTTTTTCTCAATGGAGTCTGGGTTTGAAGAAAGCGATGTAATAGCTTCATTTTCCAGTTGTAAATCAGTCTAACATTAAGGTAAAGCAATGAAAATATTCTAAATATAGCGTGCACTTAAAATGATAATTGGCTAAAACACGCTGACCCCTCCACAGCAGTACACTGCTTAGCTTCCGTGTCGTACTCTTGCCTGCTTCTCCAAACTGGGGGCGTGCTGACTGACATCTACTGTATGTAACACACTGACTACGGATAAGTGCCTCAAACAACCCCACTTCATGAAATCCAAACTCTCCCTTTAATACTAACGTCACTGCACTGGGGCAGCTGCGGCTGGCCTGACCACAGTGTTTTGGAGTGGACTGGAGTGTAGAACAAGATATTATATTTTGTAACAGGAGCATGCGTGATTGGTGCTCCTACTGTGTGTACAATCTGCGGACCGTCTTGGACATGTGGGCTCGTAAATTATGAAGCTACCTTAAGTGGGTAAAGAACAGCTTGACCAGTCTGGTAAGTTTAGAAAATTAAAACCAGGAAAAGACAACACTTTATATCATCACATCCAAAAGATATCTGGTCTCATATGATATATTATGTATTGATATACAGCCCTGCACTAATCCAAACAAACTAAACATGCAACTTGCTCACATCATCTCAAGAAGGTCGCTCTTTAACTTAAAGTCACAAAGACGTCGAACTGAATGTAATTGAGTTATTCTAAAAATAGCTCCTCTCTCCTTGAACCGGTTCCATATCAGGCATTTGTTTGGGCGCACCTGCTTTAAACGTCACACTGTATCTTGGGCAACGCACTTCCCTCTTTTTTTCCTCGGAAAAACCTCAATTTTCTTGTGTCCCCCCTCCCCTCCTCCCCTCCCTCTTACTGATGCAACTTAGGACACACACTTAAAAGTAATCAGTGATACAGAGGCACCGAGGGGTGTCACAGTTGCTCTGACCAAACAAACACATCAATGTTTTAACTTTATTATTTATTAAAGACGAACATGAGAAAAACTACTTTCACTTTCTAAATACATACTGATCAACTGGTGGTACAGAGTATGTTTTATTATATTTTGTAGTATTTTTGGATATTTTAGTGGGAGAAGTTCATTGACCTCAAACCCTGACAGCGACCTGTGTATCAGGAATTTACTTATTCTGGCTTTTAACTCCATGTTGTGCTGTTTTGTATGACGTAAACCACACAGTAAGCAGTGTGAGTGGCTGTGACTCAGCATGGGGATCCACATTTACTAAAAACATCACGCATATTCCATCAAAGTTCCCATTGATTAAGAAAATTTGAGGTGTACTTCCCTTAAACTAGAGTTATTATACTTTCCAGAAGTAGGCCTACACACATTTTGGTGTTTACAAGTGGAGAATAAACCTCAGTAAGCTGGAAAATTCACATCGTTCCTCCATGATGTTTTCAGCTTCACTCTTACTTCCCTGTTGCATATTAAAAAAGAACATAAAGAAGCTTTGTGTGCTGTGCAAAGCAAAGGAGAAGAAGAAGGGGACTGGGAGTACTTACTGTGGGGGTCGTTCTTCTCCCGGATTCCATCCACTCCTCCGTCAGACTTTATCCTCAAGAAGAAGCCCCCGTTTTTACAGTACAGCCTTTTGGGATCCTTGAAGTTCCCGGGAGGAAAGCCGCCGCTGCCGCCGTCTTCAGGTGTGGAGGGAAGCGTTGTGATCTCTCCCGTGGCCATATCCTCCTCTTTCCCCGCTTCCCGGCGACTGCTTCGTCTCCTTCTTGAGCGGCGCAGGAGCCCCACTGTGGCCTCCCACCTCCCACTAACAGTTCCCTCCTCCCCTCTTCCACAGAGCTTCACACAAACTGATTCTGCTTAACCCCAGAGGTCAGTTTGCTTGAACGCCCCCCCCTCTCAGGGCAGCGAGTGCCCTGTGAGTCCTCAGTGTCGGAGGCAGAAGCACTCCTAAATGCTTCTACCTAACAGCAAACGTGTAACTTGTAGCGGTTCGTCTGTTGTTTGTAGAGCTGGCAGCAGCTTTGCCAGTGTACTCTGCGCACACTGGTAGGGGGGATGCATGCGGATTCCCCCTCTCTTCCACTCTTCTTGCAATGAAGTGTTTAAATCAGGGCAGCTGGCTTAGATCTGTGAGGAAGGCTTTCCCCTTTGGGCCTCAGTTCGCATGCGCCCTAGGAGCACCAACACACACATGCTCACGCCCACTAATGCTCACTAAATTAACCAACCAACCAACCCAGCAGAAGTCGAGAAAGAAGAGGAGGGTAAGGAGGGGGACGTGCAACTTGGAATGCACTGAGACCCCGCAGAGTGCCAAGAGCGGCGGCAAGCATGTGAACAGAACCAGTGTGTTCATTCATCCAGGCTGTTCAAGCAAGAAAAGAGACGTAAAATGAGAGCCAGCACAGCCGGCTTTTCAGTGAATCACTCAGAGTTATTCATAGGTGAAAAATAACAATGTGAAGTAGAAATGCCAGCAGACTTAAAAGCCTGCATCATGAATGAGTGGTTTTAATTGCTATTCTCAACTTCCTCAGAAGCAGCTGAGTGGAGGATCGGTTATTCGTGCAGGATTTGTTTCTTTTTTGATTTCAGCAGCAACAAGGCCGTCCATTTGCCAAAATAGGCACTCGCTGGTCTGGGGCTCTGGTTAAAAGGTAACCACATCTGAAACTGGTGCTGGATCAGTAGAAAGTCAGCTGTGCTCTTGGTTGACGTCATGTTGGTGACCCCCCCCTGAAACTGGTCAGTGAAACATGACATCCAGCCAGGCCTTTCGAGTGACTAAGGCCGGAGACTCGCATAGTTGTAAGACTTGCGGTCAGAATAGGAGTCTGACCACAGGAGGGGTTCAAATGGTTTTGGACATCCTTAGGATGCATTTCCTGGGACTGTATCAATCAAGACCTCTCCAAAAATACATTTGATCCAATATTTATGTAAAGTGGGTGAAGAGACCACACACATTCTTTTTGGGCAAAGCCCTGTTTCTCATCACAAAGGGAGTGTGCCCGATACACCATCACTACGGATTCTCCTTATTAGAGAGCACTGGAACAAAAACTAGATTACTGAAACACCTCTGATAGTCTGGCTGTTCCTCAAACTAGTGACCTTTTCAATCAGGCTGTTATACTTCTGTCTTCTCTGGAACATTTCGTTTATATCATTAACTCATTACTAACAACTTGTTCATACAGCATGCTTACTCCAAGGCTGTAGTCAGTCGGTCATGATAAGACAAAATATCTAGGAACATTTAAGAAAAGAGGCAACTGCTTACCTGTTAGTTACCTGTACTGAACGACATGTTAGTGATCCAGGTGTTGCAGTACGCAGTGTAGCACTACCATGCTCGAAGCAAAGACAATTCTGAAACAGATGATCAAACAAAGGCACCATAAACATTAATACAGCATTTACATTGGCAGACACAAGTCAACAAAAGCAATGCCAGAAAAAGCAATCTGAAAGGGACAGTTCACTTCAAAATCAAAGGATATTTTTCCTCTTATCTGTAGTGCTATCGGGTCCATGTCATTGGTCCGACAGCCCATTAGTCCGACTGTCCGCAGTGCTGAACGGCTCCCGGTGGGCGTATTTCTGCCTTGATGGTGCGCCGCGACTGGCTCTGGGTCAGCTGGGAAAGGCTTGAGGCGAACCAGGCTCACGGCTTATGTGTTTGTCACTTTCTTTTTCATTTTAACCCACACCATGATCTTTTCCTAACTCTAACCAAGTGGTTTTTGTGCCTAAACCTAACCAGACCTTAACCACAGGGCATCATGATGATTTCGGAACGGACTTCGGAACAATGGGTTTAATATGGTCGAACCAATGGGCTGTCGAACCAATGGGCTGTCGGACCAATGGGCAGTTCCCGTGCTATCTATTAATCAAGATTTTTGTAGTGTGAGATCCCAAGTGTTGGACATATCAGCCCTAGACTTGTGATGCTCTAAGTACCAAAAAAAAAAACCTCAACAGCAATGTCTCTTTGCAGAAATCATGACCTTGTTGTGAGCAGTTTCATGTCAGAACTATTTTCTGGCAGGTGTAGTTTGGTAGAAAGGAAATAGTTCCTACATGAAACTGCTCACAGCAGATCTGTGGATTATCTTGAGTAACCGCATCCTGATTTCTGGAAAGAGACATTGCTGCTGAGTTTTTATGTGTATATTTTTAGAGATTTGAGCACCACAAGCCGAGTGCCATCTAGTTCCATTATATTGGAGAGAAGCCGAACATCTCTATGGTCGATAGCTCCAACATTCGGCAACCCACAACAAATCAATCTAGATCCTGAGTCTCCAACAGCAGGTCTGCTGACCCCTAGGGTGTCCTCAGAGTTACTGCAGGGGGGCCCACTAAATTACTGTTTAATCATTTTAATTAAAGTTTTGTTTGTTTGTTTTGTTTTTCAAGACAATATGTCTGAAAATGCACTTTAGCATGAATTCAACATATTATTAGCAAAGATAAATTGGCCTGTTCATTAACGACAGGCTAACTGTTACTATGAGTCCTTGTGCGATCATGAATGCCAATGAACGCTAATTCATTGTGTGGCATCAACCCATGACAGCAAGGCAAACTAAATTAGCTAACATTTACATGCTATTGAAACATACCGGCCAATTAGCTATATTATAAATCCAAGCATACCGACAGTCTTGTGAGTCACAATGGATCGTTTTGTAACTTTTAAAGCAAGAGACTCTGACACATCGTCCACCTCAGAAACTACCAACGAGAATGCAGATTGTGAGGCTAATGATACTAGCCATGCTACAGCTGCTGTTGATTTAGCTGCTACATTCAGAGAATTATTGATTTGATTTGATTTTTGTGTGTCATGCACACTTACATGTGCCCAACCCTCATGGGTTTACAAGACACCATTACAATGACGTTGCAGTAACAATCCAAAGTACATGTTATTTTACAGCTCGGTCCTGAAACAGAATACTCTGTCTTTTATCACAGGCCTGGCAAAGAAATTCAGCCAGGAGAAAGATTCCCTTTCTGACACAAAACTCAAATTTTTCATGCTTTGACCAAAATGAATCAATATAAATAGAGGTCATTTTACTGAAAAGTGCATCCCTTATGTCTTCATATACAGAACAGTAAAACAAGATGTGACCCTCATTCTCAGCTTCCCCTAAATTACACAACAGACAAATTCTGTCCTCCTCTGGCGTGACATTAAACCTTCCATTCTCTGAGGCTAATGGTAACGTTCCTGAGTGCAACTGTGCACACAGTGATCTTTGTCTTTTGTTTAGATTATACTTAATGTAAGGTTCAACAGTGTAGCAAGAATTATCTCAACCAAACTCAAATTTATACAATATATGTAGTAGACCTCTGACCTAGATTGATAAATATTAGCACAGGTAAGAGAAAAGATGTGTACTTTTGACTTTGGGGTGAACCGTCCCTTTAAGAATCACAGAAGGTGAATTCACATTTAACAACATGGCAGCAATAATCCAATCAGTGGTTCTAAGACAATGGTTCCCAACTGGTGGGCCCCGAGTGACATGGCAACATGTCAAGTTTGCAAAAGACACACTTAATTTTAAAGTGCAGTGAATTTCTGGCACAGAGCTTTCATTTTAAAGTGCTGTTTCCTGCTGTAGAGTGAGTAATGGACAGCTCTTTGACGGTGACAGCAAACTAGCTCAATGACATGCTCATATGCAAGTATGTTACAGAATATATATTAAACTATGTGGACCTTGAACTAATGACAAAGGAGAAATCTGGACCCTGTGACTGGACCAGTTGGGAACCACTGGTCTACTTTTTCTTTAACAACTCTACAACATGTAGTATCTGGCATTGTCTGAGGAAAACAAAACAAGATTTATGGTTAACCAGCAGTTTCTTTTTTTAAATAAACTTCTGTGACACATTCTGGTATCAGTGTGACATCTGTTCCCAAACTGAGGGCTGTATTTTAAAACCTGACAGAAGCTATGTGCATTCTGGTGCAGCACAACCTCACTTCACATTTGTAGTTTTGAGAATACCAGTCAAAATCTTGTGTATGTAACATGCAAACACATTTTAATATTGAAAGCAAAACTTCAGATGCCTTCAGTTGCTATTTCCCCTCATAGTTTTAGAACAATATGTTGATTTGTTAGGTATTGAGATCTTACTATGAACTCTTTTGCTTTTACATCTTTAAAGTGTAACATGTGCCTACATCAGTCCAAGGTCCTCTCTGTGCAGACAGTAAAACGTGGACTCAGCCTGAACTCTCAGATGTGTCACTGACTTCGCCGTTCCAATTTCCTCCTCATTGTTGTGTTTATGTTATGTCATACCCCACCCTCACATGGCCGCTGCACCGCTGAGTGATGCCTGAGTCAAGGTTGTTAGGGCTCCACCGTAAAGCCTTTGTAACGTTTTTATTTCACTGGGGCTATTTTTAGACTGCAACAAGATGCTGCCGCTCTGATCTCAGAGGAAATGGAAGGTCTCACGTGTCGTTTCAACTGACACCTCTGAAATGCGACGCGCAGAATAGGAAAAAGTCTAAAGATAACCAGCAGTGTGCTTTACTTTCACATCAACCATCATTGTTATCGGGTTGTTTTAGATTTTTCCAATTAGTCGACATTTCCCTTCGGAGTAACGGTTAATCAGGCCGGAATGGCGGTTTTCAACTGTCCTCTCATATTTAAAAACTACTGCCAAATAATCATAAGCTCCAGGATTAACAAACTTTAGGTACCTAGTGCTCAGGAGTGCAAGGGTCTGAGTTTTGTGGCTTGGTAATATTCCTGTGACCTTTCAATGATCATGTAGGAGGGGAAATGCTAAAAAGGTTTCAAGAATTCAAACAACTAAAATAACCTCTGGAAGTCGTAATTACCTTCAGTTCACTTTTTGAAAAGACACAGCCTAATAAAACTTAACCAAAAACATTTACTCCGTCTGGAGGCGGACCTTCTCCATCAGAGCAGGTCATAAAACCACCACAGTTTGCAGGGAAGCAGCGTCCAATGTGAACAGCGTTAGCCAAGCTGTACACATAATAAAGCGTAGGCAAATATCATAAAAGGAAGTGTACCAAGACTTAGAAACACACTGGCACAACAAAAATTCCACCCATGCTCCATGAGAGGGAAATTTAATTGTGGTTTTGGACATGCACTGTTTGTTTTCGCTGGCTGAGCTGAGCATGAGGACGAGGTGTGTACAAGGTCACGTACAAGTAGTGTCTGTTAAATCAGGCTTGGTCACAAAGTTGTTGACTTTAGACTCAATTCGACAAAATCAAAAAGGGCTTACAACTCAATTTGGACTTAACACCAGTGAATCGTGACTTCACAAATACTTGATACCTTTCCCCAAGCCCAAAGATTAAAAGTATGTTATTTAAAAAGAGTGCAACGATCAATTCATCTTCATGATCCATGATCTACTTTGTTTGAGCAAATCTGAGACCATCCAATTAACTTGCAGATGAGAACCACGTTACTGAGCAAAATGCAAAATGTGCAGTTAAAAATGACAGGAAACACAAATCCATCCAATAAACTTGTTTTCACAAATAAATACAAATTTAAAAAAGCATCTATGATTTCTGTAAATTTAATATATTGCTCAGTTATTAAAATGGCAGTTGATTTGGTGAGGGGGCATTATGACACATTTAGGACTTGAAATTCAAAGTTTAGGACTAAAGACTTGACTTGTGTGCAATGACTTGAGACTTACTTGTGACGTGCAAAACGATGTCTTGGTCACACCTCTGGTTATTTCCTGTAAGAATAGTATGCAGCACCTTCAAGACAAAAAATATGACACCTAAGAAAACAGATAGAATAGATAAAAAAAAAAAAGTCAATTATTTAATTGCTACTGACTGAACTGTTTTTTCATTTGTCTCCAAATACCAGGAGGTCAGGAGAGCAAATGTTTAAGGGGAAATCAGGTTAATATCACTTTAAATTCTGAGGGGAAACAACAGTGGGCACTTTACTGTTCATACATGTTGTTTTTCACTTTGTTCTTTACCTTAGATCTGAGTTTTATCCTGAGGACGTTTGAAATAGAAATATTTGTGAGTCTCGTTTTGTCATATTTACCTGCGACAGCTGGGACGACAGAGTCAGACAGACACAAGTGTCATATAATCATGTGTCTCCCCCAAGTGGCAGCATGGAGGTAGCATTGCTTCACCAAGATGACTATTTGAATGAATGAATGAATGACTTCATTTCGAACCAAAAATAATAGAAAAAAAACATAATAAAAAACAAACAAGACAAAGATAATGGTGTCCGAAAAGCAGCAGGTAGAAGTAAAACTTATATGTCCCTACTGCTTTCTTACATTTCTTCTTTTAACTCCAATATTATTTCAACAAATTCCCAAATTTATTTACAACTAATAAACAACTATCCCCAGTTAAATAAATCAGTAACAAGTTCCACCCGGTGTTACAAAATAAATATACACTCCCCTAACACAACCTTTCCTCGTCTATATATCTTTCAATCATCATGCAGTCCATTCCCTATGTCAACCACACACCCTCTTTAAGGTCCTTTTAAATTATTATTGATTATTATTTATTGATGACAAGAAACAAAAGAAGATAAAAACACTTTATTTTCACTTTGTATCAGCCAGACAAAAAAAAATAAACACAGTCTTTTTTATCTAATTTGGGAGTAAAAAAACATTCAGAAAGTTGTGTATGCTCAATTAATAACCCAAGATGTTGCTTAAGGCCATAACTAGGGCTGCAACTGACAATTAGTTTCACTGTAAATTATTTTCTCAATTAATTGATATGTTTTTTGGTCTTTGAAGTGTCAGAAAACTCTGAAAAAATGTCAATCAATGTTTAAAAAAGCCCAAGATGACGTCCTCAAATGTCTTATTTTGTCCACAACCCAAAGATACTGAGTTTGCTGCCACAGAGGAGGAAAGAAACCAGAAAATATTCCTATTCAAGTAACTGTAATCGGATAATTTTTCCCCTTAAACAAATTACTCAAACTGATTAATTGTTGCAGCTCTTGTCATAACAGCATCAGATTTTCCTGTGCATCACCACTTTTTTGATCAATGCCTGTGATGACCTCTGCGTCAGTCTGTAAGACCAGTAAAACTAGATCTAAGGCCTTCCTCCACACTTCCTCTTTCACACTCAGATTGTCATAGATCTTCACTGCCGGTGCTTCGCTGGATTTCAAAGCTTCGCTATTCTCTTGTTCACAGTCTAAGAAAAGTTGTGAGAACTTTGCAGCAATGCCTCGACTTTCGTTATAGTTCTGCAGTTGTTGGCTCACTGCAGTCCTGGCTCTAACCGTTGAAAACCTCCCAGTGTTAACCATTACAGTGGATATGTAATCTATTAAACCATCTGCCATGAGCTGCAACACGACACCCCTGTATGGGTTAGCTGCTTTGGCGTGCTGGATAGAGTCCTCGTCGCTCTCTCTGTGATGCTTGACATGTTGCTCCGCTTCCTTTTGAAGGTGATGAACACAAAGCATTTCTGTCACTCCAGCACCAGGCAGGACGACTTTGTCTTTCAGCGCGTGGTGTACACGATAAGCACATGCCCAAAACTGATCCTCCAGGGCCTGCAGCTTACCATGCACACAGCTTGTGAGGATCACTGTGACCAACTCGCTGTTCTCACCAGTGGAAATATTCACAGTTACCGAGGGCTTCCTCTCATGGCTGCTGAGGTCTCTCCATATCGCAACCTTCACCCCAGTGCCAACACAGTGCTTGCTCAACTGTGTGGCATAAGTCACTGGGACAGCTCCTGTTGCATTAGCGAACGTCCTCAAGACAGAAGGCTTTGCTTTTTCCACTACAAGTATATGAAGTCGATAACAGTGCCGAATCACTTTCTCACTAACAAGCCCACTGACTAGTATCAGGTTCACTTTCAGGTTCACTAGAAGTTTCAGAATCTTTTCCATCCACTTTTCCTCTTTGCTTGAACTTGACAAGTCCGGCTGGTCGCTCACACGCTGTACACCTGTTGGCCTTTTGAAGCCAAGGTGGCGATAGGTATCTGATAAATCTCCTTTAATGAGCGCAACCTTCAAGTTCTGTTCTTTCAAGTGATGTGCAACTGAAGCCTGTTCGGCAGGTAAGAGAACAACACAGCCTGGTAAAACACATGCGTGCTCCTCTGGTAAACCAGGTAGCAAACATGTCCCCACTTTAGTAACATCAAACAAGGAGCAGCTGATGTCTTGCTCGTTATTTTTCGACTGTATTCGGCTGGCTTCAAGTGCTAAATTCATAGCATCGGCACAACCGTGACTCAATCCCTCAGCGATGTGTCTGACGTCAAGAAGCTTTGGCTGGTGAAGTTGTGGTACTGTGGAGAGACTGTCAGAGTTCTCATAAAAATGTCTGCTAAGTTTTAGTTTTCTTTGTCCACTGCCGTTCAGAGTCTTGTGACCAAGCTTTGTTTGCCTTTGCAGGTTGCACGATGCGTCTGAAGCCTCCACAGTGGATTTATTTGACAGGTGAGGTCCTAAACCACGAGATGTCGCAGTGCAGCTCTCTGATTGAAGACCTTCAGTTGAGACGCTGCATTTCCTGCAAACATCCAAGCATATATCCATCCCTTCAGACATCGCCGAAATAATATGTGCAACTGAAATCCCTCTCTGAAGGCACTCCAGTGCAGCACGGCTCCACGCTCCTGCAAGAAACAGCAGGCATCCCGACCCTGTATGATAGACCCTCTGGTGGGCTTGAATGGTCTCGTAAACCAGCTGACCCACAGCACAGGTCAGCTCCAGGTTCTCAAAGATGCGGAAACATGAGCAAGCGAGAGCCGACTCCCCACTCATGTCATCTTGGATAAACTTGTACTTTTTATTGGGGCCCAAACAGGAATGTGTGATACCTGCCAGCGCTGAGAGCTTCTGCAGTCCAACATGTTGTCGATGGTTTATGACTGTACTTCCCAGCATTACTGGAGGTGCCTGATTTGTAAAAACACAAAAAATATCTGTTACCAAATATAAAAAAACAGACCATTATCTTATCAGGAAATACAAGTACTAACATGGTTTCTGTTAAATCTTAGTCACAATAATAAATAATCACTACAGTTACAGTTACTTACTACAGTTTCCAAAATCCTCAGTGTAATTTAAATTTAAGGGGCTTAACTTCAGACACTTATAACTACAGACATTTCGTTATAATTCAATGGTCTGGTGGGAAAATCTGGGTCCTGGCATTTATGTGGATGCCACTTGACACACTCCACTGACCCAAACACCGTTGCAGACCAAGTATCCCCCTCATGATAACAGCATCCCTTGATGGCAGTGGCCTCGATGGCAGTGGCAATCTGACTGAGCAGCTGTGGGGCGTGCTGGTACCCCACCATACTCAAAGGATCCACCAACAGACGCCACAGGACACCACAGAGGTCCTGTGTCCATGACTTGCCAGGTCCAATCCAAGGAGGCCCCACTGTGGATTGAGGGACCCGCATGTCACGCAAATGCTCAATCAGAATGGGATCTTGGGAATATGGAGGCCAGGTTAGCTCTTTGTCACACTCCTCTGGTCAATCCTGAGCAGTTTTTGTGGAATGGCATGGTTCTTGCTGGGGGGGCCACTGCCACTGCGGAAGGCCGTTGCCACAAGGACTTGGTCTTCAACAGTGTTTGGGTGGGTGTACAAGAGGACTGCTTCACTGCAACTTGTAGTTACATTTCTGGGGAGGTGCACATGAGGCTATAGCGTAGGTTACGGGTTACGGCGTTGGCTCTGTGTAGACCCAGAGCCTAGGCCGTTGGATTTGACACAGAAGTATAAATCCCGCTTTACATGTCAAATGGCATGTAAAGTGGGATTTATTTGCACTGTAACAAAATGATCAATGTTATTCACAACACCAGCCAGTGGTTTTAATATTTGGGCTGACTGGCATTGTAGTAACAAGTTACCCTAAAAATTTTACATACAAAATGGTATTCGCTTATAAAATGTGGTACATTCTTACAGTATACATTAAATGACATAAACAGTAATTTAAGTTAGACAGCTCCACCCCAACCGGCTGCAACATTTTTAAAGCTGCTTACACATTAAGACACTAATATGCAACAACAGAACACATAAACACACACAGTCTATTGTGCGTACTTTTGATACTATAGGTAAACTTAGCTGGTAAGACACGATGTGCTTTTAATAAGTAAAATTCTGACAGCAAGACTTGTCATTAAGTGTACAATGTGGAAGCTTATTGCTAGTTTAAAGGTCCTATATTGTAAAAAATCTGACTTCCATGTCTTTGTTAAATAGAAAGCAGGTGAAGATGCTACATAAATACTGTGAAAGTATCAAAAAGCTTAATCCACAGAAAAATGCACACAGCAGTCAGGACTTCTGTGAACTTGTGATGTCACAACTATACTATATAAAGGTACAAAGTGCCCCTACAGTCATTCCCCTGCTTAAGAGACATTAGCCCCTTTTACACTGCCAGATTTTCGGCGAATGTTGGGCGTTTAGACACATAGATCCCTACTGGTGAGTTGATCCGAGGTGCCCAATTTTCCGCCTAGTAGGGTAGACATACTGGTGGAACCTTTTTGGTTTAAACAGAACGAGGCGCCCTTCCGCCACGGGAGGAGCTGTCGATGACGCCGCACTTGCGAGCCACTGGCGGTGGATAAACAGGAAATAGCTGATAGCAGGAATGAGCAGCTATAGCAAGAGGGAAACACAAACCTGACAGACACTGTAAAGATGAGCAACTGGGGAGACAAGGAATTGTGCGCCCTCCTTGTCCTTGCAAACGAAGAGGCCATCAACCATCAGATGACAGGACGGTGAAGAAAGGGCCAACTTTTGAGAGAATCGCCGAAGGATTGACCAGCTGCGGCTTCCCTCCCACGTCACTGTTTACGTCACACGCTGAGCTACACGTTTTGTTACTTGCTCACACCCCCCATTGCCCTGAAAAAGGCGCATTCTGTATAAACAAAAGTAGGTAGGCGGTATTTTGCTGCACTCCCCGATTTCGCTTTTATATTGCCAATGCTGAAAAAAGACTGATTGGGCTTTCCTGCACAATTCTTATTTAAAAAGGTCTTGTGACTGACTTACCTCCTCCCTCCTAAAAAAAGAATTAGGTGCTAAAACAGTGTTTCATACAGAGGGTGAATACAGATACATGCAGGCAGACAGTATGAGAAAAATAATGTGTTTTTTCAACATTAGAGCATGTACACATGTTCTAGTAGAAATTCAAAATACAAGTATGAACCTTGAAATGAACACAATATGGGACCTTTAACTTAACAAACCTTATGTTTTGTGATTGAGCTGCAATGAACTCTGACTTGACCCACCTACAAAGCACTTAAAGTTGCCTTTGGGTATGAAATGTGCTAATATAAGTTTTCCTTGCCTTAACTGGAGGGTGTGAATACTTTGTCTACCACTGGTAACACGTTTGGTCACCAATAGAGATGCAACTGTAGCTACAACACAAAACACTACCGCATCTTAAGCAGCAAGTGACGCTGAGAGATGCAGCAGCCTGCAAGCTAAGCTAACAAGCTAACGTCTTCAGAAACTACTTCCGAATACAACCAGTACAAAACGAGACAAACGCCAAGTAAAAACAGAAGCTTGTCTTCAAAAGGCGCTCCGCAAAACTATAGTTTACCTATCCATAGAGACTATAAAGTTACCTTTATTTAATATTGTATGATAGTTGTGTCTGTTCCCACTGCCCAACTGCTCCGGCTTCTGCAATTAAGCACTGCGCATGCGTGGTGTTTCCTGGTTGCCGGGCGACAAGAAACGATCTCAACCATTGGCGGGCACTGTCACGACCCGCCCATTACCCTCTGTAATTGGCTAATATAGCCGCGTCACTGTGCTATCAGGGTTTCTATTGGCTATCTTCTGTGTCATTCAACTGAAAACCGTTGCTGCCTGTTTTGTTGACATCCAAATACCAAACAACACTGAAGCTTTCCCGGTTGAATCAATCATTTAAATGGTAAAACTTCATATCAGTGTCTTTTAAAAAACGAACGCTATATTAATGTTTTTGAATTTACCGTGAAAAGTTGATAAGAGTTAGATAAAGCTGCTTAAAAACGTGTTTGTGTGTGGTCTTGTGGAACAGCATGGAAGCTAATGTTAGCTAGCATGATAGTAACAGTTGAGCAAACTGTAAACCAGTGTGATCTTCTGCTGCTGCTAACTGAATATATTGTGTGAAGTGGCAAGCACGTCTTAATGTTTGCTTTTATTCCAGGCTTCAGGTTACAGAAAACCAGCCTCTGCGGCCAGCCAAAGGAAAAAGGCAGGTCCCAAAATCGAGCTGACTGAGGAGCAAAAGCAAGAAATTAAAGAGGCTTTCGATCTCTTTGACACAGATGGCACTGGGACAATAGATGTGAAGGAGCTAAAGGTTAGTAACTGGTTTAGTTTGCCTTTGATCAAGTGTATGCAGGTATACAACTGTGCAACATTCTTCAGTATGCACCTCTTGCATGTATATATCTTTAAACATACAGTGCACATAACTGTACATATCTCTTATGTGTACTCTCATTCTATTCTTGTTTTATTCCGTTGCGGTAACTTATATATTGCAGCCTCATCACAGTGACTATACATATTTTATTTTTAATACCTTAGGTTATGTTAAACAGGGTAGCATAATGCACATTTTTTTAGTTTTAATGCACACTTCCCCATCTCCTCTCCCCAATTGTTGAGTACTTATATGTTCTCTCGTGTCTTTTTTTATGTATGTTTTTACTTGCTATGCAACTAAATGTCCTCTAGCAACAATATAGTGCAAGTTTCATTCTATTTTATTGTAATTTATTGTATTTTATAGCTTATATTTACATATGTGTGTAATACTCTTACGTCTTATTATTCTCTATTCTTTACATTGGAGTGACTGTAATGAATCACAGTTTCCCTCAGGGATCAATAAAAGTATTTCTGATTCTGAACAGATACACTGATAATGGTGCCACAGCAGCCTCAGATTTTATGTGATAATTTCGTCTGTGCCACAGGTTGCCATGAGAGCGCTTGGCTTCGAACCAAAGAAAGAAGAAATCAAGAAGATGATTGCAGACATTGATAAAGAGGGCTCTGGAACAATTGACTTTGGTGACTTTCTCAGTATGATGACAGTGAAAATGGTAAGTGTAACACAAAAGACAAAACCTGGAAACTTCTTAGAAATATAACTGTCATTTCTAGTGCTAGAAAGACTGTGTGTATGTCTCTAGACAGGTTTAAGGTAGTCTGGGAACAAGATCTGGGACCTATATCTGAGGACTAATGGGTCTCTTCTCACTTTGCACAAGACATTGCTTCTTGCAATTTAAGGTGGTCCATAGAGCCCACATGTCGAAGGTTAAGCATTCTAGCATCTACCCTGATACAGTTCCCACCTGTGACAAATTCAAAAACAATGATGCCATATGTACTGGCTGTGCCCTCACTGGCAAAAAATTTGAAAAAGGTATCTTCCATACCCTGTCTAAGATCCTTAAAAAAAGAACTAGACTCTTTTGTTGCCTTGTTTGGCATTGCTGGTGAAGACAATCCCAACCTGACACCCGCAGAGCACCGTGTGGTCACTTTTGCTCTGCTCTTGGCCAGGTGCGCCATCTTGCTCAAATGAAAGGAGGCTGCCCTGCCCACATCTGGCCAGTGGCTTCGAGACTTATTTGTCCTATTGCCTAAAATTAGAGATGCTGCAATTCTCTGCCAGTGGTTCAGAGAAAAAATTCTTTAAGACCTGGGGATCCTTTTTGTCTCATTTCACACCCAAACAACATCAGCTCTGTGTTTTAATTCAACAATGACATTAAAAAAAAAAAAAAAAGTAAAACCTGGCTGATATTTCTTTCGTCACATTATTTTTGGTTGCTGGTTGCTCTTAAAACAACAGTATCCCAGAGACAAATTCCCTCTAATTAATTAACAGTGAAATCCAGTGTTTGGTGTTGAAGAAATACCATTTATGCAAATAACACTCGCTGCAAAATGTAGATTGAAAAGTGTAAATCAAGGCTGTAAAGCATCAGTCATTATGTGTTTGTCATATCTTTATTGTTAACAGAGTGAAAAGGACTCCAAAGAAGAAATCCTGAAGGCTTTTCGGCTGTTTGATGATGACGGCACGGGAAAAATCTCATTCAAAAATCTAAAGAGAGTTGCCAAGGAGCTGGGTGAAAACCTCACAGACGAGGAATTACAGGTAGTGTGTTTTCTGATGACATGCAGTGTTTCCCATGTATGATATATTTATAATTTGTCTTTGGTGGTCCATTCACACAGACAGACGTTTGTTAGAATCATGAACAAAAACAGACAGAGCTGTGGAGTCTCGAACGCAGCTGTCACTCATGTCAGTTAAGCCTGATTTATGGTCCTGCAGCGTACCTATGACGTACCTACGTCGTTGCTGTGACGCCGTCGTGAACCCTTCGAACTTCTCCGTCACTCCATTTCGTCACGGTGCAATTCACCGCCAGAGCGGTAGGAGGCTGCGTTCCTTTCCTGAGTGGTTGTCATCGTCTCTAGTTGATTCTTTGTTTAGCTTCCGGCTTTTCCAGTCACAGTGAACAATGGCGACCAAGAGAGAGAGAATCTTGCTGGAGTTGGAGTTGTTGGATGTCGAAGAAAGTATGTTAATACTGCAACATCTACATCACAACAGAAGATGTTTAAAGATGGCGGGGATGGCACAATCTGGAAATACAGAACCGGAAATGCGTTGCTACCAAGCAAACCAATCACAGTCCTCTCGGTCTGCGCTGGGTCTGCGTCGCCTCGACGTGTAGTTACGTTTTTTGGGAGGTGCACGTCAGGCTACACCGGGGGCTATGGCAAGCCTCCTGCGTAGCCACGTACCCTACGACGTAGCTACATCGTTGATTTAACGCAGGACCATAAATCAGGCTTTACTGCTCGTGAACCACAGTCAAACTAGGCAGCGCTGATCAAATATGAATTAAGATTCTGTTACTGCATTGCCTACTTCTTACCTCAGATGTTTTCAGAAATATGTTTTAGTGTACTGTTTAGCTGTTAAATAAGAAAGTTTGTGACCCTGCTGCCATGTTGTGAACAGCTGAGCGAAAACCAATATGTTCATGAAAACATCTGAGGTGAGAAATAGGCAATGCATTAACAGAATCATGATTCATATTTGATCACCAGTGCCTAGTTTGACAGTTTGACCAGAGTTCATGAGCACTGATTGAGATGATTGACAGCTGCATTAGAGACTCCTCAGCTCCAATTTTTCTTGAGCAGCCTTAGCTTCTAGCAAACGCCATTAAAAGCACCGAGAGGAGGAGGACCACTGTTTCACAATTTTTTTTTTCTTCCTGAGAAAGAGAGAGTTCATGTTTATTGTAAAAATGAACCTCCTCCTTTTATTCATAGTTTCTGTTCTGCAGTTCTCGATGCATGCTGCTCTCATGTTTGATGATTGAGAGCAGTTTCAGTAATATGCTACTTTCAAGTATCGTACCTCTGTATAGAATGTGTGAATACATATCTTTCATGTTTAAGGCATCGTTTATATTTAATATGGTGCAGTGCGTTTAGGTCCCGATCACTCAGAAAGTGTTTTAGCAGCTGTAGGCGGCTTTTTGTAATTGTTGTTAATGAGAATGAAGCTTTTTGCTCGCGGTCATGCGTGGCTAGGTGCCATGTGTGTCTGCGCTCTAGGCACCTGGCATTTTTGCCAGAGCGATCTGAACTGTTCAGGCTGAAAATATTTCAAGTCGGAGCGGAAAAGCGCCCCATGTCATCTCCACTTTTTTCTCATTGTCCAGTCTGATGATTTGAGAGCAGGCCTTCTGTGGTGGTCACGACAAAAAGTTTAAATAATACGTTTAATTCCTATAAAATATCTATAAAATGACTCATTTTATTTCAGTGGGCCTTACGTTACACCACACTTTACAAACAAGACTCATACCTGTCTCTCTTCTCTCGTCTCCCACTTCCCCTCATGTTGTTGTGTTCGTAGATGTGTGTGAGCAGTGTAATTGTTGCTTTAGGTTGGCAGTTTCTGGAGGACTTGGGCACGGAGATATGTTTTTTACCACACGTCAGTCCTTGTGAGAGTTAGTTTTTGTGGTCTGTCACATTTGACATGAAGCGTCGCTTTCACTGCTGGATTCACCTGTGACCTTTTCTGTTTTAACACACAGACTTTGTTTCTTATCCTTTTAGGAAATGATCGACGAGGCAGACCGAGATGGAGATGGTGAAGTCAGCGAGAAGGAGTTCTTGGATATAATGAAGAAGACCAAACTTTATTGAATCTGTTGGGTGTGTTACCGTTTTGATCCGGGACCTTCTGAAGATTCACTATTGTGATTCTGTCACACTTTATGACAGTAGCTTTTTTTAAAGAACTTTTTTGGGGCATGTTTGTGAATAAATATTTTTAACATACTGTATCTTTGCACAGATTTTTCTAAAATGAGAAATAAATATATTTCATCATAGTGTGTCTGTTGTTACTTTCACATATACTCTAGTTTCTCAGTGTCAGTACTTGCATATAAACATGCAGTTTCAAACTGTTTAATGTTTCCGTGTGCACATAAGAAATGCTCCTCTAAGATTTACAGTGTCTCTCTGTGTGTGCCCTGCGGTACGCTCTGCAGTGCATGCCAATAATGGTCAGATGTCGGGGAACAGACAGTGAAAGTCATATGACTAAGTCGATGTTGACTAACCAGAATTATCTTACTGT